CCTTTACTACCCCCCCCACCAATTTATTACAATAATGGATACAACAACAAACAACTACTACTACCCTCCTCCTCCACCGGCCCCATCGCCGTACAACCACGCGCCGCCGGGTCCACCAGCCCCATCGCCGTACAACCACGCGCCGCCGGGCCCACCGGCACACGGCCACGGGCAGAAGCGAGCGGTGATCGTCGGGATCTCGTATAAGAACTCGAGGAATGAGCTGAAGGGATGCATTAACGATGCCAAGTGCATGAAGTTTATGCTGGTCAACCGGTTCAAGTTCCCGGAAGCTTCCATTATCATGCTCACCGGTAATTTTCCCCAATTATTTCTTGATTTTTTTTATTGGATCACATTTTTTTTTGTGTTTCTTCGAATGATCTTGATCGATTTAGAGTAATGGGAGCTAATTTCGGGTGATTTTCCAGTTTTTTTTTTTTTTTTGTTGGCCCGTTTAATGGTTTGACTTGATTTGATGACAACTTGGCAAGTTGATTTGTTTAAATTCCAAGAATGCAAGTTTAATTTTTTTAATTTCATATTGAAATTAAAAAATATTCATCATTTATATTTTAAGCTCTAAATATTGCATCTAGAAGGGATCCAACCACAGTGAGATATTGTTATAATTAACAGTGACAGTAAAATTAACACTGTAATGACATATTGAAGAACATTGTATAACGTTTCCGATGCTAATCATATTTCAGACGAGGAAACTGATCCGAATAAAATTCCGACAAAGCACAACATTCGAATGGCGATGTTTTGGCTGGTCAAAGGTTGTCAGGCAGGTGACTCACTGGTGTTCCATTTCTCTGGGCACGGTTCGCAGCAGAGGAACTACACAGGTGACGAAATCGACGGATTTGACGAGACACTATTGCCTTTAGACTACGAGAAACAGGGTATGATTGTTGACGACGAAGTTAACGCCATGATAGTCAGGCCTCTCCTACCTGGAGTCAAACTCCACGCAATCATCGACGCCTGCCACAGTGGCACCGTCCTAGACTTAAATTATCTCTGTCGAATGGACAGGTTTTGTGTCCTCTCTCTCTCTCTCTCTCTCTCTCTCTCTCTCTCTCTCTCTCTCTCTCTCTCTCTCTCTCTCTCTCTCTCTCTCTCTCTCAGATCTCTCTCTCAATTTGCGTGTCAACAATGCAGGAGCGGGCGTTTTGCATGGGAAGACCATCGGCCAAAATCAGGGACATGGAAAGGGACAAGCGGGGGAGAAGCGATATCGTTTAGTGGTTGTGATGATGATCAGACTTCTGCCGATACAAATGTAAGTTTCTGTATCTCTTTTTTCTACTTCTTGTTTCTTTCGGCTACTAATAGATAGATTCTAAAAAAAAATAAAAAAAAATGGGCAGGCTCTATCTAAGGTGACTTCAACGGGAGCGATGACATTTGCGTTCATCCAAGCAATGGAAAAAGGACAAGGAAATACTTACGGGAGTATCTTAACAGCAATGAGGTCAACTATACGCAAGACTGATAACGAGCTAACGGGGGGAGGGGGAGGGGGAGGGGGTGTTGTGACGACACTTCTCACGATGCTTTTGGCTGGAGGAAGTGCTGGTGTTGGTGGCGGACTCACACAGGTACACCATTCGCCACTTATCGACATTACTAAACTCAAAATCATACATAATATACAGTTTCCTTATCAACATTCCATAAACGTCGTCAACAACTGATAGAATTTTATAACGTTGTTATGTTACTTACAGGAACCACAGCTTAGTTCTAACGAACCGTTCGATGTCTATGCAAAGCCGTTTTCGCTGTGAGTTGAATGCTGAGGCGACCTTTTTTTTTTTTTTTTCTAGTTGCAACTAAGTGAATAACATGACCAGACTTCCGGTCTCGACTAACTTATCTGGTTGCGCGAGTACCCCCAATATGTTCGTTCTTGTTTTCTTTATTCGTTGGCATATTACGTGCCCTGTCTATCACTATAACAGAACTTTTAATTTTTCCCGGAAAATCGGCATATAATATTATTGTGGACATTGTAACATGTGTTATTGGAGAAATCTTACAGAGAGACACACACACACACACACACACATATATATATCACTGAAAGGTTTTATAACCTTAGTTGGATTCCACCGGTAAGACAGAGGAAGACTCTTGCAGATCGTTGTCGTTCTTTAGCAGTACACATTGCCGTTTATATCTTGCATTATCCTTCAAAGCCATCTCCTCGTACTCCTACAACAGCATACCATCATCAAACGAACATAAAAAAAAAAAAAAAAAAAACAAATGCATGGTAGGAAAAGTTACTGAAAGCCACAGTTCCAATTAACGACGAAAGAGTTTATTGTACCTTCTTTACGTCGTGAGGGAGTTTGTACCATCGCTTGCTCAGCCTCTTGCTCGCTTCCCCAAACGAACAACGTTTAACCACACCCCAATTAGCTGTCAGGAAGAACGCATACGAACTGCACGGCCTTAAAGGCAAACTCCGTCTCCTCAGCATTTTATCGAACACGTTCTCTGCATCGCCTCTACTCTTGTTGTTCACCTTCCTTCTCTTCTTCAAACTCAAACCGCCCCTATAAACAGCACCACCGTGACTAGGACCGTTGGAGTAATACTTCACCGGAGATAAAACCCCACTCCTCAGCCTCGTAACAACGCCATCTCTCGACAGAGATTCTCCATCCAAGGCGTTCGTATCTGCATCCGAAGTGTGATGTTCATTCTCGCGAGCAGAAGTAGGAGTCAAGTACGATGAAGAAGATGGAGATGCTTGAACGGAATCGTGAAATGTTCCGATTTCCGACGGGATGTTCGCGTCGGGGAAATCGGAAGGGGGCTCGGATTGGTGGTGTTCTTTTCTGTGGACTTTGAATTGAACGGAGAATTGCAACTCGCCGGTGTCGCCTTGGACTTGAACAGTGTCGCCGGTGAGCACTCCGCATAGATGGAGGGGAATTGAAGCAGGCGGCGCCGACGGTGATGAAATTGGCGGGAATTCGGTCAAACGATTATTAGCCATTTCTCTTTTCTTTCTCTTTTTTTCTCGAGAGGCGTGTGATAATAAAACTAAAAAAGGAGTTAAATGGGCGCGACGGATCCTGCATGAATCGTTGCCGACGGTTGGCCGTTAGCCAGAAAATAAGAATATTAATATTTCAAATATTTTTTTAAAATTTATTTTTGAAAATCAGAATATAAAACATTTTTTTTATGGTCGAATATAAAACTTCAAAAATCATGATATAGAACGTAAATAAATATGTTTCTAGAAAGTTCTTTTCTCTTATATGTATTATTTAAAAAATGATAACTTACGAGGCCCCCTAAACTTAGGTTAAATAACGAAAAATACCCCATATATTCGTAATTACCAAAAACCTTTTGTGGTGTTTCTAGAAAGTTCTTTCTCTTATATGTATTATGTAAAAAATGATAACTTACGAAAACCCCTGAATAGGTTAAGTAACGAAAAACACCCCATCTATTTGTAATTACCAAAACCCCATGTGGCTTGTTTCCGTCTTACACAATTTCAGATATTTTCTTTTATTTCTGACCTATTTAACAGAAGATATAATAGACTGTACAAATTTTTCTGTTGAAAAACTCGATCAATAGTTAATCAGAGGGGAAGTTTGGCTATTACGGATAGGTGGGGGCATTTTTTGTTATTTAGTCTAAGATTTATGGGGTCTTGGTAATTTACCCTTTAAAAATAAAAAACACAAATAAGACATCGAGAAGTGGGCCCCTAAATTTTGCCAATGGGCTGAGAGATAAAAAGCCCGAATAAGTGGACCCAAATTGGTCCCGCCAACACTAAACCAGTGGCTGGAAATGAAGGCCGGGTCCGGACCGGTTCGAAGTTTGAACCGGAGGAATCGAACCGCTTTATACAAAATCAGAGTTATCAACTCATACTTCCCAAAAACTGCAATCCTTTCATCACCCAACCAACACTACAGAAAACCAGAGCAGAGCTTCTTCACTCGTTCTTCTTGCCATGGCTTCCGCGCCACAATTTACCTTCTCCCCACTCCTTTCTCTCTCTAAAACCCACCCACCTCACAAATCCCCAAACAACTTCCTCCCTCCCTCTCTCACCACCCCACGAAAATCATCAACAAGGGTTCAATCAGGCGGCATAGAGCTGGGCGATTTCGGAGCAAGGGACCCTTTCGACGCAGAGATTGAGAGCAACTTCGGCGATAAAGTTCTCGGCTTCCAAAGCACCGAGCACAAAATTTTGATTCCCAACGCTCTGGCTTTATCTCTTGCCGAACAAAATTTCATCCCCAATTCTCAGCTCCAGCACCCCATGTCCGTTGACGAAGCCAAACAGCTACTGTTCAAGGTCTCTCTCTCTCTCTCTCTCTCTCTCTCTCTCTCTCTCTCTCACACACACACACACACACACACACA